TGTTCAACAGACAATTTATTCAGTTCGCGCGTATTCCTGTTGAATTTGTAGCCCGTTTATGAGATATGTCTACTCAAAAATATAATAATTTTTCCATAGTAAAAACTTGCAAGAGGTGACAGGCCGCACATCTTCACCGGCGTGAAACCTTTGAAACCTTTTATATATTGCTCCATTGAGGAGACTTCTTTCAGGGATCTTACAGTTTAAAATTTGAACGATGATATCGCTTCTATATAGCGGACCAAGATACGGCTCGGTACAATTTATGTTCAGCAAGGGAAAATTGTGTAAGTTGAGCAGAACCTTTAAACAACTTTAAAATGTTCAACAGACAATTTATTCAGTTCGCGCGTATTCCTGTTGAATTTGTAGCCCGTGTATGAGATATGTCTACTCAAAAATATAATAATTTTTGCATAGCTGTTGTTATCTGAGAGTAACTGCTTTTAATATCTCCGTAAAGTTTAGGTTTACGCGATCTCAGAGGACAATGTTTAGCTGTACACAGCACGTAGTCTTTTTAAAAATATATCCAGATCTGACACAGGTTTTGGGTATTTATCACGTCTAAGCATGATTGAAATACATTATGATGCTGTGTCCTTTGAATGTCGTTTTAAAACTCAATCGCTTTGTAAATGTCACTTGTGGTTTTCATATCACAGGAGAGTATTTTAAAGCTTAATATTTTTCAATACCATCAGCATGTTGTTTTTTTTACCAATCAATTGACTGGCTTCTTTGCGCCACTACATAATGTTTGTAGTTAAATATAAGTTTACAAGCAAGACCGGCGGTTTCGAATCTTACGATTCTCATCAGTTGCTATGTGGTGGAATGGTTGAGGTGAACTCTGAACCATTCCGAAACACGAAACAAGTCCTCCAGCAGAAACGTAAAGAAAACAAACGTATCTTGCCTTTTGTAACGCAATTTCAACCATCACTGCCTAACTTGAAACAAATTCTTACAAGCAAATGGGATTTGATTACAAACCAACCATTGCTTAAAGAAATATTTGAGGAGCCTCCATTAATATCATACAAGAAAGAGCGGTCTTTACAGGATATACTCGTAAGAGCAAAACTATGATTATAGCTAACCTGTTCCAGGCTCCGAGATAGTTGGGCCCGCTGAATTGAGAAAGCGCAAAGACGAAAGTACAACTTTTCGCGTGCCTTTTACTTTCGCGTTTTCCCCGCTATCCGAGAGCCTGGAACAGGCTAGATTATAGCTAAAACACGAGCGAGGGAGTCGCACAGGCCTGTCACCCCCATTTTAAACTAAAAATTTCTTATTCATGTTAATACGTGGTCTAATAAACTCAAGTTTGTATTGTAGATTCTTTTCTTAGCTAATAATTAACGGTGTGCCACTGACGAAGAACAAATAATAACTCGCCAATCTTATTTGCAAAGTCACCCCTACCCCCTAGGAAACTGCCTTTTTTTTAGACCCACTCTCTTGGGAATATTTGTTGCCCTCCGTGAGGAGGGTATGGAAATTTTCTGGAACTAAACAATGCAGCCCATTTCCTCTAGTCAAAATTGTTGTCTCTTTTTAGTATGTGTCTTCTGACTAGGATCCTAAAATTGGCTCCTGGTTCTAAATTAGTGTGGGTTCAATAAAGGCTACAGCGCTACAAAAGTATAGTAAAAGACGTGGAAGTTGAAGCTAAGTAGAGCGAAAAATGTCAGTAGGCTCCTTCTCATCACCAAAATTTGTTTTTTCTCTCGACCAGTCCCTCTCCATGTCTCCGGTTTAATTACCAGGAATGGTGGGGGAGGAGGGTGCGTCTGTGTTCTGTCCTTTGTGTGCCTTTTTTACCTTGTGATTTTGTTTTGAGTTTTGTGATTCTGTTTTGAATTTTGTTTTCGATTCTGTTTTAGGGTTTTGTGATTCTGTTTTGGGGTTTTGTGATTCTGTTTTAGGGTTTTGTGATTCTGTTTTGGGGTTTTGTGATTCTGTTTTGAATTTTGTGATTTTGTTTTGTATTTTGTGATTCTGTTTTAGGGTTTTGTGATTCTGTTTTGAGTTTTGCGATTTTGTTTTGGATTTTGTGATTCTGTTTTAGGGTTTTGTGATTCTGTTTTGGGGTTTTGTGATTCTGTTTTGGGGTTTTATGATTCTGTTTTGAATTTTGCGATTTTGTTTCGGCTTTTGTGATTCTGTTTTAGGGTTTTGTGATTCTGTTTTGGGGTTTTGTGATTCTGTTTTGAATTTTGTGATTTTGTTTTGGATTTTGTGATTCTGTTTTAGGGTTTTGTGATTCTGTTTTGGGGTTTTGTGATTCTGTTTTGAATTTTGTGATTTTGTTTTGGATTTTGTGATTCTGTTTTGGGGTTTTGTGATTCTGTTTTAGGGTTTTGTGATTCTGTTTTGGGGTTTTGTGATTCTGTTTTAGGGTTTTGTGATTCTGTTTTAGGGTTTTGTGATTCGTTTTTGGGGTTTTGTGATTCTGTTTTGAATTTTGTGATCTTGTTTTGGATTTTGTGATTCTGTTTTGGGGTTTTGTGATTCTGTTTTAGGGTTTTGTGATTCCGCTTTGTTCCTATCGGCCACCGTACAAATGGTATTCCGCTAAACTCTGTAAGTTCCACTCTCGTTCCCAGGATTATCCTGTTAGTTCATAAAGAGTGTGGGGGAGGAGGAGGGGGGATGCTGTCATTGGTTTCACGAAGGATAAGGACCCAAACAATAGCTCTAGTACTAACAAGAATACGACAGTGCTACAGCTTTTAAAAAAGGACCAAAGACTGCAACAGAGTACAGTACAGTCTACCCGAACTCTTGTTCGTACAACATACAAGCCTTTAATTTTCGATTAAAAGCAAGAAAATCACAATTTAGTTCAGTTCCTTCAGAACAAATGGTTGTGTGACCAAAGCTAGGGAGCGGACAACGCGACAGACACTTATCTCTAAGAACTTGAACAGCTCAGTCTTGCCATTGGAGGTGAAGATTCCGAGCGATGAAGGCGTAAATATCTGAATACTCTTCGATCTGAAGAGAGAGAGAGGAAAAAAAAAAAGCACGGTAAAGACTCTAAAGCAGTTCAAAAGGATCATAATACGCCATTTCAGAGTTTCCTAGAGCCTCTGTTTCGAGGCAAACTAAGTGCGATATAAATATGATTTTTTATTCTCACGCAAATAAAACTCATTTACACTACAAATGATTTGCACTTAGCCTCGTTATAAAAATGAGATTTTTGACACTTGGGAATCGCGTCCCTGAAAAGGTGGCGAGCGGAAGTATGAACAAAATTGGTTAATGATGCTTGTTAACGACAATGACATTTCTACATGTATTGCTTACATTATTCTGTGTTAAAAAAGCTACTACATAAAAAATGTGATTGGAGTTTGAAGAGCAAAAAAGAACTTCTGCTGAAGCTCAGCCAGCAAGGAAAAGGGATAAATAATTGGTATTAGTAGGTTTCAGTTCTTAGAAATAACAATACTAAATAAGACACTCGTAAAACACAGTTCGAAATCAAACAAATTTTAAGCACTCTTTTACTCGTTTTTGGTAGAGGGAAACATTTATCGTTCAGGTTTTGTGTCTTTCGTTAGGCACGCCTTAATCCTTTAAGTTCCAAGAATGACCAACATCAATTTACTCCTAACAATATCAATATATAATCAAGTAGAAAGGTTATGAAAATTAACAAAATGATCACTAAAGGAAAAATGCTTAGTGATCTTTTAACAAATTCTCTAAAACAATTTTTCATGGACATGGTTGGGGGCTAGTCTAAAGAATTTGTATGTTAATCAGAATCTTGGCGCTTGAAGAGTTAAAGGAGGAAAATTCATGTTGAAAGAGACAACTTATCTTAGGCCTTCACTGTGGAAATTGAAAGTATTTAGGCACACAGGTCAATTTTCCTGATCCCATCTCCATACGCATGCCGTGGGAGAACTGTTTTGCATACGGTTCCCAACCATTAGCTACCACTTTTCCACACTGGAGCTGTCGCTTAAAGAAGTACTTTTTTGTACTCGCCTGGGCAGTAATGGGTCTTTGATACACGGGTTCACCCGTTCGCACTCCTCTTAAAGGAGTACTTTTTTGCACTCGCCTGGGCAGTAATGGGTCTTTGATACACGGGTTCGCCCGACCGTCCGTACTGCTCGTAAAGGAGTACTTTTTTACACTCGCCTCGGTAGTAATGGGTCTTTGATACACGGGTTCGCCCGTTCACAGACCCTAAGGCTATGCCATGCTGATGAGCCCCAATAAGGGCGAAGTAACTGTCCATGGCTGCCACTGCCGGGGTGATATGGTTGTGCGCATGCGTAAGGTAAAGGTCATACCGCGGAGTTGGTACGTGTGCTTCAGTGCTAACATTGACATAGAAAGTCCCCAATATGGTTCTCCAATCCCGTCGTCGCGACCCAAATGTTCTTTCAATTCCGTAATGCCGATGATTCTTTTCGTATCCCACATCCCGCGCATACTCGACCCCATCTTTCTTTTAAGTCCTGAATACTGGCTTTCAAATAAGGTAAATTCCGGCACCCGAAAAACTTGTTGGGAACCCTGTGCAAACTAATCAGACTTACAATTTTGGCAGTAGGCTTTCCAAATCCATGACCGGCTTTTGTGTCCACTCTTATAAGCAACGGGTTTGTCTGCAAAGGAAAATACATGCGAGGGTCGACTGAGATGTTATTAAAAAGAAAATTTTCCTCTATAGAAAAAAAACCGTATTGTTAGCGTAAATCCTGTTATGCATTAAGCCCCCCGGGGGGCTTATTCTTCCCCTTAAAAGGAGGGGCTCATTGGAGAGAGGGAGCTTATTTGAGGGGGGGGGGTGGGGGCTAATAGAGGATTTACGGTACCTGTTTTTCGTAACCGCCAATACGATGATGCAACTCGGCGATGTACTTCAGAGAATGGAGTGGAACAACACGATCATCATGGTCAGCGGTTAATAGCAGCAGCGCTGGATATTGTGCTCCGTTGTCGGGAATCTTGATATTGTGTAAAGGGGAATATCTAAAAATCAATTAGTTAATCACACGATTAATACTTCAACAAGCTAATCAATGGTTCGATAAATGACAACTGATTATAATAGGGAATAAACAGTTTTTCCGTCCAGATTGATTTTCTCAATGCCTCATACCTATCACTCTGTGGATCGAACGCAAACTTGGGAACAATTTTAAAAAAGCACAAGTCACCTTAGGAAAAGCTACCCTTCCAATGATCCTTTGCGTTAACATGAAACCTTCACAATAAGGGTTCTTTCATTTTATAATATTAAAGTTCACGTTTTTCTTTCGTTCGTCGCCAAGAATCTCTCTCCGCTCACTAATTAGAAGCTGAGAGCAGGAGATCCAGTCTAGCAGCAACAGAAAACGTCTCTCAGAAATAAATCAAAAACCTTTTTAAGTTGAGGAGGAACTTCACGAAAGGAGAGGGAAAATAATGTTTAATTTCTATTAGGAAAGAAAGCAACTCACTTGATCAGCCATTCAAAGTCTTCCTTCTTGTCGGGACTACCATAATCAGTTGTCCTTTGCAAACAAAGAAGACACGTTTTCAATTACTCAAATTGGAAGCAGTATCATAAACGTTTCTTTATATCAATGTTTTTTAAAGCTTACTTACCAGGCATGGCCGATGGTAAACTTATGAAACTTCAGCATGTCCATGACTCTGCAAAAGTAATAATAGAATTCAAAGAATCATAAGCATGTTTTCAGTTCCGTAAGGACACTAGTAGAGTTCAAAGAACTGGCTAAAACATACGTCCTAGTATTGACGAATTCGGGAAATGGTTGCAAAAAGTGCCGCACGTATAAATACGTGGACGCCATTTATTATCATCAAAGTGGTAATACCGTAAATCCTCTATTAAACCCCCGGGGGCCTTATTCATTTCAAACACGTTTGAGGGGGCTTCAGAAATAGAGACGGGGGACTTAGTTGAGAGGGGGTGAGGGGCGAAAATGGTGGTATCAGTTCTCCATAAAGAACTAGAATGCAAAGTGCACAAGCTCAAGTACAAGAAGGGAGATTTATGAAACCGAGATTTACGAAACAAAACCCTAGTTTCCACAAAAAAAACATCGAACTGAAAGATTCTGGTAGTTGTAGACTGATGACGTCATCGTGCAAATAAACTATTGCCCAAAAAATAATGTACAAACTTGACAAGCAAAAAATTTGGACTAGTCGAGTACAAAATCGAGGTAACGCAAACTAGTCTCAGGGATCTCACAAGAAATAAAAACATCAGTGAAAATGTTAGGCGTTAGAGCGCTCTTAACTCATAAAAATTACGACGAAAGTCATTCTAATATAAATTCTAAGTTGTCCTGAACTTAAAAGAGTTCAAAAGCTGACAAATGAGCTGGCCTATTACAAACATTTTCAATTCTTCAATACAGACTATGCTAAAGGAATAAAAATGAACCGTGACTTACGGTACTTGCGAGACAGCACATCCAAACAGCTCCGGTCTCTGGTTGATACAAGCACCGACCAAAAGTCCACCATTAGAACCACCACAGATGGTTATCCTGTCGTTAGACAGACAAGAGGAAGTAAAGTCATTTAACTTGCACTGATATTGTTACCGAAATGGTTTCATCATTACGACCGCCTGATAGGCGTTTCCTTTCGCTGCTCCTATTATTAAGGTGCAAAGGATGTCTGGGAAGGAAGCGCGCGAGACTTGCAAGGCCGAAGAGCCAAAAGTGCAAGAAGTGCGCGTGAAAAAAGTGTGTTCCTAATCTTAGGGCTTGTTTACAAGCAGGGAGGGTAACCCTGGTGAGAGGCCGGGTTACCCTAGCAAGAGGGTTAAAGATACCTTTGGTTTACGAGCAAAATTTCCCAAGCAGGGTTCCCCTTTCAAACAGGTCAACTTTACAAGCTTGACTGACGTGTTTCGTCGTGCGTCACCCCATAAGAATAAAATACACATTCTTTGTAACGCCCAAGATTTAAACGAAATCTTAGAGATCTGCATGTTAAACACGTTTGTTCAGATGTTTAAAATTTAGCTCGAAAAGTTGGATAACTCCGTTCAAATTTTCAAGATTTCTGATCACGCTATACAGTCAAAGTTGTCCCGGGTATAGGCGAGTTATCCCTAGCAGGGCGTTTAGAAGATAGCTAAGGTAACCCTCTTGCTAGGGTAACCCAAGAGCCATGGCTCTTCGGTAACCCTAGCCCTCAGGTAGGGTTACCCTAACTCCAGGGTAACCCTATCTGCCTTATAAACGTTGCGTAAAAAAGAAGAAATGTGCGAGTGCTAGGGTAACCCTCCCTTCTTGTAAACAGGTCCTTACTACTCTTTCTTTTCGCACTCCTACCAGATCATAGTTTTATGACTGCGTGCATCTATAATCGTGACCGCAAAAAGGTTCTCCTGCGGTCAGCTGATCGATTAACAACAATCGCAAAAAAGATATTGCTTCACCCCTGGACGTTAATCTTTGCTTTAACTATATGAGGACGGGGTGTCGTAGAACGAATGCACAACACTCGGCTACGAGGTTTTGTCCTTCCCAGAAAACCCTGCGTTCTCTGCTTTTCGCGCCATAATGTAGCTTGGGAACGAGACAAATAAGTTTAGCTCCATATTGGAAGACAGGAAGAACGGGCTGAGAAGTGTAAAGATACTTTAACAACTCATCCAAACTCCTAGGATATCAAGAAAAGCAGTAGTACAAACGTACTTGTTTGCCGAAGTGTACTTTTGCTGTGCTAGGTAAATCGCTGCGTACTGAAAGTCATCAAAAACATTCTGCTTGTTCCCAAAGCATCCCGCTTGATGCCATGTTTCTCCGTATTCCCTGCAGGGAGATAACAAAACAAAAACTATTTTCATGAACACGTCTTTTATGTAGACGAAACAGACATAATGTAAATATCATGATGCATAACAACTACTGCACAGGAAACTAAGGGACCATTAACATCTAGGCAACTTCTTTAATATATTTTCAAAACATTGTGGTCAAAAATTATGATTTACAAGTTCAGACGCCGTTTTGAATCTCTTCCAAACTTACCCTTGCCGATATCCAAAACTACGGTCATTTTGTCCTGATGCTCGACAAATTATTGATAAACGGAAATTCATTAATTTTGAACGGGAGCAATGCCTTTCGAGGGGGGGGGGGTGGGGACGACAAATGAGAGGCATAGTGCAGGTTTCTGTCAGACATAGTCGCTCTCTTTTCTAGCGAAAAATTTGGTACCCAATTCTTCTTTTACGGACGCAAAAAGTCAAAAGGTGAAGTTCCTTATCATATGCCGACGGCGCGCTCATTTTACGCCAACCTCCCCCCCCCCCCCTCTTCCGTTCCTCTTTCCATCAGTGCTCTGTTCTACGGGTAAAAAGCATGTGAGGTTACGATTGGGAATCGCCGGAACTCGGAATCTACCGCACAAAAGACGGCGCACTAACCGGCTGTGCTAATCCCCTTTCGAGTTTAGAAGCGGACGAGGTTTGACACCATTTTCAGCAAATCTTGTCATTTTACTGCCGGGGCGAGGGGGGGCATTGGGGTGGGGAAAATGCAAACATACTTTTCCTTGCCCTTGGTAAAGCAATTCTTAAGTACAACTTAGCTATACTTACCCTCCACCCCTTAGGTTAGGAACAGCAATTATCCCTCCGAGATGTTGCATAAATACGATTCGTGAAACACTGAAGGCTGGAGTAATAGAAATGTTGAATCCTCCGTAACCATACAAGAACAAAGGGTGGCTGCCGTCTAACACGATATCCTGATTAACAAACACAGTTAATTAACTACAGTAGTTGAGACTTGCTTTAATCTATAATTTAAAAGTATTAAGAACAAGTACTTGTCTCAAAAGCACTCTGTTATACATCATTCATTAAAATAGTCCATTATCCATTTTTCGATTGCTTATGAGCATTAAGTTCTGGGGAAGTCACCCCAAATGAGCTATCAAGCTCGCTGGAAAAGGCAATCAGGTGTTTATAGAGTAAGCAAAACGACTAGGTGGGTGGAGCGACTCCAACCATATATAGTCGTGCGTATCGTCGCTGCTCAAGCTCCTACATAACAAACCAAGACATCGTCACTAAAACGGGAAACAGAAAAATATGAAAAATGGAAACAAAACAGGGAATAGGTCATTAAGTTACTGATAGTGCTAGAAGGGTTTTAAGCTAGGTTTTCGCTCCCATTTTTCATTTAACCCTTCCATTTGCTTGTTACCGGTTACACGTTGCCCCTTTTCATAATATCCTGGTTTGTTAAACCATAGCTCGGTTGTTCAAAGGCTGGATAGCGCTATCCACCGAATAAATCTCTTTATTATATAAACACCAATGAAATACCAGGTGAACTTTCGCGCGAAAATTTGGTATCTTCACATGTGAAAATAACATGTTATCTTCACATGTGAAAATATCACCGTTGCTATGGCTACATAATAAATCGCGCCTTTCACACCAAAAAACTATTAAAGTGAAATGGTTTGGTAGTTCATTGTTGTTTATATAATAAATAGAACTGCGCGAACGAGTGAAATATTTTTTCAACACGAGAAGAGAAATTTCGTTTCTCCAAGCGGCCATGTAATATCCTCTATATCTAGTGGATAGTGCAATTATTTTCTCCAATACTTATTCATTGGATAGTGATTTATCCGGTGGATAGCGCTATCCCACGCTTGAACAACTGGAGCCAGATCTTTATGCGACATTACATTTTCACGTGTGTAAGTAAATCAAAGGTTTACCTTTTTATGAACAATGAACATCGGAATCTTGGTTCCATCTTTGCTTGGATAAAACACTTGCACGGTCTGATAACTACTGGCGTCAAATCCACTCACTTTAATTTCGCGGAAAACCTGTCATTTCCAAAAACATGGTTATTTAGCGCCACCGCCTGGCAGAGAGTGTCATTTTTTACGCTGGAGGGCTCGTCATAGAGGGGTCTTATCTTATTAGTTTTTTCACAACTAATTGGAAGAAGGACGGAGTTCGTTCTTAAAACACAATGTTTATTGGTGTAAGCTATATGCAATGAACTGTAATACAGTTTTCTTCAGCAATAAAAACGCAAATATGACATTTATTGTCACTGAAATGAAGGCAATTTAAGACACAAACCTTGGGTTGGATGTTGTCTTCAGTTAAATCACAATGGTGGATAACTCCGGGGGTTAGGAATGAAGTTAACTGGTAAAAAATCTGCAAAAAGAAAAGGTAGTTAGTTGTAAGTTTTGTTATTCAAAAATAAAAATTCGATGGCCCAAGGTTCCAGGTTGGGTCAAGCAGTGTTGAGCCCAACAATTATTAGGAAGCTTAGTCACTTTTAAAGCGTATTCCCGTTCTTTCTGAACTTGATGGAGATTATTCTAGGTGAGTTTTCCTGCAACTGCATTATTAGAGTCCACGTTGAAGTTCAGAAAGAGAAAGAAACATTTGCCGTCATGTGTTTACGTCGCGGAGTCCACAAAAGGAGTAAAAAAATAAACGACTACGACGTGAAACCTCCTGATTTGACGTTTTAAGGAGGACGTGGACTTACGACGATGAATTTTCCTTCCTCTTTTTGAACCTGACTAAAATCCTTAAGAATTCAACTCCAGGAAAAGTCACCTGCATTTGAAATATTGAGCGGATCCAAATGGACGCGATAAAGTTTAAAAAGACGTAAATTCATTTTTTAGAGACGTTTTCACTGCCGTCGTCGTCGTCGCTGTTGCTTAAGGTCCCTAACAAGATGAGTTTTCGCCGACCGGTTGAAAATTTGACTGACTACTTCCTTCACACGGAACCGTTCAATATTTTCGCTCTATTCAGACGGACCTCTGAAAAGTTAGACGTCTAAGTTTTCTTACTGTTAAGGTGATTCCGTTTGAACGGAAAAACTAAACACACGAAGTTTCAACCGGTCGAAAATTCTTGCGACGCTGAGTGAACGTAGCGGCAATTGTGCAGTGATGGGGACGAAATGTAACAAAAAGCGTGATGCACGTGCAGAGTGACAGTTTACATGTGTAGCTCATTAAACATATTGTTATTTAGTTTTTAAGTTCCCGTTGCCGTCGTTTTGAAGGTTACAGCGCCAGAGGGCCTCAGAATTCCTCCCTGAGTTTTACCACTTGTGATCATTCTTTCATTTTTTCGCATCCCCTTGCAAAACTCCTGAAATTTTAGCTATTTAAAGGGAGCAAGGTTTGCCCAAGTTTGCATCTCTGAGACGGCGCGAATGGTCGGCTGAAGTCTCTTTCTTGCTACGAGAAATTATTTCACTGTATACTCCGGCCTTTTCCCTCTCAACTCAAAAACAAACAATTCTAACAAATTCTAGTTCGATATGGAACACAAGAACACATGTAAAACGAGTTCTTGAGAGCCTCAAGGGCTTCCGCGGACAAAACAACTGATGTTCCACATTTTTGGTTTGTTCAAGTTGTTCATGTGTTACCTCTGAATCTCTTTTCCGCCCAGAATAACCAACAATGCTACCAATGTCGAGTGGGAAACTCATCAGCCTTTCTCCCGACAAATTGTGAAGGTAAAGAACGCTCTGGAAAGTAAAAAACAGGGTAAATTAGTAACAACGTCGTATTTCATTTTCATGAATGAAGACAGTTGTTCACGTCGTTGTTCACATACAAAAGCGCGGGGGCAAGCGCGGGAACATCAAGGACGCCCACGCGACCACCATTTCCCGCCATTTATCACGCTTGTTGCCGTTTACCGTTGTCAAAGTGAGGAGTATAGTTTTTACTTTTTTACGCAAACAACCATCAGAAAACGTGAGTATTTTAAACTTTGTTTCTTCCGCTTATCGCAGCTTGAATTAAATATAAAGCCAATTTCCACGCTTATAACTGAAACATTTGCAAGTACTGGAAAAAAGACAGTTAACGGCGGCTGTCGTAAACTTTTCCGTCACAGATTATTTTGGGAGCTGTTTTTCATATGTATTAGTTTGTATGCTTTTGCAAATATAAACAAAAACGCCTGAACACGGCCTTTATCTCTGTTTTTTTTTATGACTTCCTTCTTAGGAGAGAATAATTCAGTACCAATAGAAACAAGAAACCACCATAAAAACATTACGGACCTTGACGTCATGAAGATAACAGAGAACCAACAGATTCTGCTTGACACAGGAGGCCCATTCTAAAACATCTTGCTCGTCTTCTTCAACAAGAGTCGACCAGTGTTCCTGAATATTAAAGCAATGACAAGCGAGATTTTGTTAACGGACAAACACCTTCACTTTTCTCAAATGTATCAAAAGTGAGTACCGGTAAGCGAAGGAAATTTTCTCTTCTGATGAGGAGACATTTATCCAACTGTTATTGTAAAAAAATACACAGACAACAAATTGAAATATCTTTTTACAAAAAATCGTCTACAACGTCATTTTGCAGGACATTTGCAATCATACTGTACTTACCATTTCGGGTTTTGAAAAGTCAATATTGATTAATTTGTATCTTGGAGCTTTCAAGTTTGTCTTGAAAGTGAAGAGGGTCCCCTCATTAGTGATGTACTAGATAAAAAACCAAAGCAAAATGAGTTAAAACAATTTAATACAAAGTTTACAACATAAAAGATAAAGAGGTCTATTGACCATCATTCCAAGGGAATACATCATTGTTATGACATTACCTCATATTCAGCGTCAAAATTGTCCACCACTTTCACATAAGGAAGTTTACCTAAAACAATCATAAACAAAAATATACAGTTTGCCATTACACAAACACCTTATTTCCTGAACTCTCTTTGCATAAGCTAAATCATTTGAAAAAATATACAAAAAAAAAATAATAATAAATTTAAATAATACAAAAATTAAAAGTTGGAGAGCCAAGAGTGAATGTAAGGCATTGAACTAATTTTTGCAGTTTCTAGCACTTGAATTTTTTTACTTGGACAGAAGCTGATTCTGAACTGTTCTAGTCTGTTGTATTATTACCAGTAATTCCATCTTTTTGCTTCTCCAGATCACAGTAAAAAAGTCTGTTCATTGGAGCACAGCCTTCGTGTGGAGTTAAAATCACGTATCGTCCACAATCACTGACTTCAGCACCTCTACAAAAACAAGAAAGCAAGTGCTAAAAGTTTAGGTAATTACTAGACATGCCTCAACAGAAAACATTTAGGTCTGTACAAAGTTGCTAAGAATACAGACACCACAGAGAAGTCAGCACACAGCAAACATAACCCAAGTTAAGGTGTAGTTTTCTCTAAACAAAGTAACTGACAACTGAGCCAACTGCCCCTTTGGTTAGCTCAATTAAATAAGCACTGGTCTGTCTAAGAGGAAAGTCACAGCCAGACCAACATTCAGGGTCTTAAAAAAACTCAGGAGAAGGTGCTGCCTATGTTCTGGCATCCACAAAATAATGGTTAATCAGGTAATGACGAATAATAGTCAGACCTGTACCACAGCTCTTTTATGCTGCTGATTACTGTGGAATGCAAAAACTACTGTTTTTTAAAGAAAAGGAACATTGGAAATATAGACCCCAGTAGTTTGGTTAATCTTAAAAACATGTGTGCATCTATGTGTACAGGTGTAATACTGTAGTAGGTCCACATCAACTTTAGGTTGCCCTTTTTTTTATATAACCTGCTATATGAAATAAAATGATGATGATGACGATAATACATGTAGTTATATTACTGAGCTACATGTGAGTAATATTACTGGACTAAATATTTTCCAAAAAAAAAAACAGTAATTTCATACTGTAATTATTACTTACACAGACCACTTAGGATGCTCCGGGAACTCACAACAAAGAACATCTTCTGACTGGCTGGTTCCAAGAACATGGTAATAAAGCTATTATGGATGTCACAAAAAAAATAACAACAGAGAATGAATTTTTGGTTTTAGGCAGTTGTTTGCATAAGTTATTTTTCAATGGCCTCTCATTCTGACCCTATCCCAATGGCACTTTTAAGCCCAACATCACCAAACCTCTTACAGCTAGACTTCAGGCTGATTGACTTCATTAAATATATTACACTTTTGTTGCAAAATAAGACAAACATATTTCAAACTTACCTTTTGATTAAGATTTAGTTCAGTGACTGTTCCATCAGCTTTAGAACTACTCGGATATTTCTATCAGGTCAAAAACAGAATCTTAAAATACAGTGATACAGTAGTAATAACATGTTCTTTAAAAGTATAGATTGTTATGTAATAATACTAAATATGTAAAAGTTTATTCGATAAGTATCTTATCTTTCCCATTTTATGTTACTGAGCTTAAAACAGGTTCTTCAGAAGCCTTGGGGCCCGGCAAAAATTACTGCTTAGTGATTGTCATGAAAGTGTAAAAAATCCATTTTTATTTGTTTCTCAATGCTTTGTTTGATGAGATAAAAAAATTATGAAATTGAAATGCAGCTGTAAAATATTTATTTCACAAAGGGTGGTCCCCTTCTACCCTCAAATGTTAATTGCTGTGCACTGTAAAAGGCACTCCTTTCTTTTACAATAAACTCTTTACTCAACTAAGACCATCTACTTATTAAAACTTTTTTCCATCTACGTTTTTCATTATCCTGACAACCCTGCTTCAAATTTACCAGCTTTCTCAGACAACCTTGTATTTATTACTCAGGACATTTTCAACATCACTCTTCACGCCATTGTTAACATTGCTGACCCTACATAAAGTGGTATGTATAACATACATTACTTTCAGATATTACTAAGACCATTTAGTAAATGGAAATCAGTCTTCAGTTTTTACTTTTAGTAATGCATCCTAAATAGAGCATTGTTATGTCAGAGGAGCCACTTACAGGGCCGGTGGAAGGTACCCTCACTCCACAGGGTAAAGTTTACAGTGATGTTCTCTGGACAACTAAAAACTTACATTGTAGAACAAGCCCTTATTGTCATGTGTCCATGCCATGCTAGTGAATTTTGCATTTTCTAGGGAGTCTGGCAACTGCACTTTACCATCCACCTTCATAAACTGAAATTATTAAAAAGACAAAGGAGTCAGAAAAAATCATGAACTGGATGTGACATAATATTACCTCTTAGCAGTACTGACTGCATCCAATACATGCCCTCAGTGTTGCAAATTTTATTTTATTCTTATTTTAGGATTTTCAAGATAATTGGCCGAAAACTAGCTCAAAAAGAAGCATTTTTTCAAACAATGTGTTTTTTTCAGTATTAGCTTATTCAATAAGTCATGAAAGGGGTTAAAAGCCTATAACAACAAAAGCATGACATCAATACCTTAATTGTAACCCAGTCAGATCCTTTATGTGAAAGAGAGTAGGCAAAAAGCTGTCCATCTTCAGAGAATGATCTTCCCACAAGCGCTATGGTTCCATCTTCAGACAACTTGTTAGGATCAAGAAATACCTCCGCCTCACCATCTAGTGAGTCTTGAACATACATCACACTTGAAAAATCAGTAGAAAAGTCAGTGTCATGATACTATTCAAGCTAAATTTGATGTAAATATGGTACATGGTAACATAATTATATTATGGTAGTAGGTCTGCGTGGAGTACAAATCAGTCTATAATATAATTATGACTAATTAACAAATTCAGACAAGCACTAGCAGGAGTCTGATTTCTTTAATCTTGAGTATGATTAAAAATACCTAATTGGAAAAGATAAATTTCTGTTCCTTGTTAATCATAACTGTAACAAAATTTGTGATATTTTCTGCTTTTTAAAACACACAACTTTAAGATTTTCCAGGAGTTATTTGCACAGATCAAGACCAATGAATTATATTGACACTATGTCACAATGCAGAATTAATCATTCTAAAAAACTACCATAGAAGGTTAATATAGTAGATTTTACCTTTGGTTTTGAAGCCCAGAGTTGTGGAAGTAGAAGTACTTTGAACCACGTTTAAATGGACAGCCATACTTTGGATAGTCCCACATTTTAGTTAGCCTGCAGGTGGAATAAAAATTCCAAGACTTGAAGCATTATTTTTCACCCTTGGTAGGAATACTCCTTTTTATAATGTTATTCAGGCCAGTTTGGTTTTAAGTTGGGAATAGAGTTTAAGCCTGAAAAAGGGTAAAGTTTTGCATTCTGTTAAAACAAGGTCTGGAATTAATTATATTTTGAGATCATTAATTTTTTTTCCCTTGAGAACACTGGTTTAGTTACATATGCAATAGGATAGCGAAATTCATATATTTTGGTCTGAAATCAGGTAAGGATTAGATGGCCCCACCTAATTCATGGGAGTTTCTCCTTCCAACTTAATGGGATTATTTTCCCTCTTGCTTTAAAGTTAAGACATAATAAGGCTTTTTTTTTTTTTATAGAAAAAGTATTGATAACTGTCACCCAGTTAAAAATCCTACCTTGAGTAAACCCCTACACTCACCCCCTCTCCCACCTTGCCATCCAATTTATTTGGCTAATACCTTATTTATGGGATTATCATACTTTGGAAGGGAGTTAAATTTAGGTGGGGGAGGCAGTTAACTACTTTGTTGCTCTAAAAAAACACTTGGGTCCTTGCGGGGGGAGGGGAGGGAGAAATGGTGGATAATTACACTTCCATTAATCTACGCGTGCAAAGCATTACGAGTTTAAAATAAGGGACCGGTCATTATTTATGTGGGGGGGTGGGGGGGAAAAATCATGGGGTGGGCCAGGCCTATTTCTTTTAGAGAAAAGGGGTGGGCCAAAAGAGAATTTCACGATGATTGGGGGTGGGTCATTGTGTGTTTTGTAAAGAATCACACTCACTACAATTCATGTGGAAGATCTAAATAAATTATAATGCAATGCTGGACATAAAATATAACACAACTGGATGTCACATGTAGCAATCCAACCTAAGTATGGAGAATCAAAGATGTGGGCACTAAATATCAATAAATAAACATAAGCCCTATTGAGAAGGCTTGCATGCTTCCTTTTCTTAATATAACTGTCTGGGAACTTTTACTACCTAAAACGTGAACAGCTAGAAATCATTATTGGTTTCAATAATGGATTATTGAATTCATTATTCAATTTAGTGAAATCAAATTTTTCCAATTTTCAAATCAAAAACAGTTTGAAAATTCGTTTTTTAATTGAATTACTATTTTTTGTTTAATGACTTCAATAAAAAAGCAAATTTTTTTAAACTGGTTTTGATTTGAATATTGCAAAACTTATTTTTTCAATAATCGATTAATGAAATCAATAATGATGTCTAGGTGTTCACGCTTCAGGTAGTTTGACTGTAATATGGAGCTATTGAACTCCTATTTGTGACCATCTAAAAAGCAAGGATTTTCAACTGTCCAATAACAACATGTCCCCGAGTTGGACAAATACATTTAGCATAATAAACTTAGCAAGAACGGAAAGAAAATCGACAAAATCAAGCGAATCACAGTACACTATTATGAAACTTCAAAGGAATCTACATTTCCTTCAAGCGTCAGTGTTGGTGAGGATAGTGATGAGAGTGACAGTGACAATGACCTTGTTTTGTGTGATGAAAGTGAAAGCAAAAGTGAATCTGATGATGACAGTTATACTGTAACAATACAAGAAGGCACATCAACAAGAAGTGGCCACAGAGTAGGACACTGGTCCACAAGATATGCTGATTTCGTTCAGTGAACAGGAACTCCTTATAGAGGTATAGATTGAAGGGGGTTGGGGGTGGGTCACCTCTTATATAAAGTTATATGGGGGTGGGTCAAGAATTAACTAATGGGCTTAAAGGGGTGGGTCACGTTTTTTCTTTCATGCTAAAACAAAAAAAATCCCCCCCACCCCCCCACATAAATAATGACCGGTCCCTAAGCATTCTAACTTTCCAGCGTTTCATTTCCCACAATGTCTACTATCAATATCTTTTTACTCACGAAACAAAATGGAGTTGCTTGAATGAATGGGGTATTGTTTACGAACAAATGCGAGACATGTGCATGTTTCGGAAAATAAAATCATAAACACTTTACAGTCTGTACTTCAAACTGCCTCGATACTATCAACTTACAGTTATTTCCAGTTCGATCAAAATAAAAGAAATAAGCATACAGTTTTATTTTCAACTTTTAAATTGTAAGATTAAAAGCTTTTTGCTGACCTTGTCTTGAAGTTATCTCGTATTTCGCAGTCTGCTAAATAAGGCATTGTAATGGCATTTTGCTCTTCAACAAAAGCTTTGGTTTCTTCAGAGTCCGGATCTTCTAGCCAAACATAGGGATCAGCAATCTTTGTACCATGATATTCATCTATAACACTTTCATCTCTTCGAGCTTTTGGATAAGTAAAACTTGCCGGCACCGCCATCTTGAATGTTGATTGCGGCCTCGACCCAGATCTCCACCTAGCTCTGCAGATCGGGTACGAGCAAGTGTTTTGCACGTGACTTTTAAAAATAGCGATGTCTTTTAGGTACACCCACGTGACAGCTAATTCAAGAAAAATTAGCAAATTTTGATGAGTAGGCAAAAAGTAGAACCACAACATTAAAGAAAATTAAAGAAAAAACAAACAATTTTTTACAATTAGTGACTAAAGATTTCTTACGTGTAACTGAGAGCTTTTTAGGTTGAGGTACCTGAGCCAATGAATCATACAATAGTTTGATAAAAATGTAAAACTCAATCGGAAAGTATCGTAACTTTTTAACTTATTTTTAATGTTTTATTACAACACTTAGCAAAAATTTACATTGAAAATAGAAAAAACAACAACAACAAAGAAAAAATAGGTACAAAAGTCACAAAATTAGCAGTTCACGTTATAAACGAAAAACAAACAAACAAAAAAACAAACAAACAAACAGACAAATCACAAACAATGAACTATGCAAATAGCTAACTTACGAATAACTATGAATCGCCGTCATCATCCAGAAACGCTATTGCATCAGTCAACTATGTTTTTGATCCAGTCTATAAGTACCTTTAAAAAATTATAATCATAGCTTGAAAACATTTATTTTGCTGAGTCAGAAGTATGAAGCTTTTTGAATTTCAAAATAAATACGGTCGAAAATCTTGAAAATAGTGCGTTTGATAGCCCATATGTTGAAAGGGTGAGTCTTCGAGTTTGCTAACCGTTAGGAAATATGTGCAGAGCTGGCTGGTGGAGACGTCGTTGGTATCAGTGATGCAATGGATATTTGTATGTGGTACACTGGAACGGACTTGAATGTACAGTAATCTGAATGCACGTGGGGAATACCCTTGACTTCACGCAAAGATTTATTCACATGAGTGTCAGGTGATTGGACGGTTTGTTGCAGTCTTCTGTCACTTCTGATCGATAGCGGAGCCTTGGCATCTGATTCATAAAAAAAATTAGCAGAAAGAAAACGCTCCTGCTGCAATTATCAGTCGTCCAGGGAAAAAAAGGTAAGGTAAGAGGTAAAACTCAACATACTTGTTTCAGCATATAAGAAAAATGACTAATAGCTGACAACTTTTCATTGTGACAAAACTGTGATGTAGATTTGTAGCCATGTTTTATCACATGGCGAATTGATGACACAGCAAAATTTACCCGCCCTGTAAGACATTTTTAAAGCAGTAAAGAGACACAGAAATATATACTGGAATAGAGAATTCTTATGTCTAAATTGTACAATCTACATCACAGTTTTGTCACAATGAAAAGTAGGTATTCGAATGCAGTTCATGCACACACATGAATCCACTTGCAAGTTCAGTTCATATGTCGCTTGGCCGTTACGCGGCTCTTACATGCTTTCTCGCAAAAACTCGTCTTGTTCTCCATTCTTGTATTTAAAGTAAAACTGTGATTTCCTGCCGGAAAATAACAAAAGTCCATCTCAAAAAGGAGGTAATTCTAATCTCGGCAAATTAGTAACACGTCTAACACAGAAGCACAACTAGAGACTTACCTTACTTCCTGTTAAGCCGGAAATAAGGCAGATAACGTGATGTCACGCCAGGTGCATGCAAAGACAGAAAGTGAATGGGAAAAGGCCTTGTCGGATAAAAACGTTCACAGTGCTATGAATGGCCCAGCTGATATATTTTCTACAAGGTTTAAAATCATTAATTTATATAGATTCGACACCTTTCACAGACGAAAGGGAAAAACGACCTTGAATGTCCCACTGACCTCTTGGAAAACGGACGTTGTGATCATGCCGCACGGACCTTGACTTTTTGCGGCTCGGTCTGAACTGTGCATCCACGCGCTTTTACGTTAAGACAAGTGGCCTTTGTGTGTTTCAAAGCAACCCTACATTTTTTGTTTTAAATTCAAGATAGGTTAAGACGCCAACGCCAGTGACAACCAATAAACTTCTTACCCCATATTTGTCAGTACATGTAAGAGATCTAGAGAGGTATATTAAATTAATAGCAAAGGCCTGAATTCCCTTCCATGCACTTAAGCACTGGCGGCAAGGGGATGTAAGATAGCTCTTTCAAAACCTTGCTTTGCCATCGTCAGCAATTCTAAGGTTGCTCTGGCTTATCCTTGACTCTTTTATGGAAGCGCATCAACCACGTGACGGTTTCATTGTAATTTAGCTTCATAAAAATTCTGAGTTACTGGGTATTACCCATTTTGCGGTATTTCCCTTTAAATTTCAAAGAAGCCATTTTAGCAATATTTACTCAACTTTTTGAAATGTGAAACTGATAAGAAAAACCCCTTGTTCTGTCGCACTTTGTAGTAATCGTCGCACTTTGTAATAAAATTGTCACACTTTGAGATATCTGTCGCACTTTGTAATAACCTTAAAATGGATTGTCGGAGGACAAGTAACCCCGTCGACAACAACCACAATAAGATCTCTCGCATGGACAGGCTTCCAAATGAAATTTTACAAATTTTTTTTACTAGTAAATTTTAAGCAAAATCACTTATCAGGTCTTAATTTTTTCAAACTTTGTTCTTGGTCTAACCACAGATGTCATTCAATTATGAATGATTCTGTTTCATGTCGGTTCCAGCGCATTCAAAATTTCCTCAAAATTGATATGAAAATGATATGCAATGTTTTAAAGAAAGTTTTAGTCTGATAATAATAGTAATAATAACGATGATGATGATGATAATAATGATTGTCTGATTATTAAAATGATTGTGGCCCCGTGTTGTGCTCTTAGTTTGTGTTTTTTGATTTTATAAAATATTAGCATAGCACTTTAATTCATGGCAATAAACACGAAAATCTCGTTACATCTCTTGTCATATCCTCGCAGGTAATAAAACCGAATTTTCGTGCTACTAGTAAAACTTTCAAAATACCGTAAAATTCCGAAAATAAGCCCCTCCATGTATAAGCCCCTCCAAATATAAGCCCCCCAAACCGGTAACGCAAAAAAACCCCTCCGTTAAATCGCCCCTCCAAATATAAGCCCCCCGGGGGCTTGTACTTGGAAAATTGCCCTCAAATACAAAGAAAACAAACCAAAAATGGTAAATTTACTCTTAACTATAAGGCTAGCCCAATCGATTTTGAAACCCAACTTTCCCTCCGTAGATAAGCCCCTCCGAATATAAGCCCCTCCAAAAATAAGCCCCTCAAAAAGGGCCTTTGAAAAATATAAGCCCTGGGGGTATTTAATTTTCCTGTGTACAGTGTACGGTCACCTTTCGCCTGAAGGACACCTTACTTTTATGGACAACCGATAGCAGCTAAATTCCTATACAAACTTCCATTATTAAGGACTCTCGCTGTTGTGGACACTATCTCATGGTCTCCAGGTCGTCCGCATAGAAAGAGTTGTTCTTAAAGTAATTCCCTACAAAGATCTTGAAGCCGGAAGGCCGCAGTTGATGTGAACACTTTCCTCCGCCCCCAACTTGAGAAATTGGTGCTGAAAACCGTTCAGTGGAATGTTATTACTATTATTATTATTATTATTATTATTATTATTATTATTATTACTATTATTATTATTATTGTCGATGATGATACTTATTATTGGGTTTACTTGTCCTCGGAACATCCATTTCAAGTTTATTACAAAGTGCGACAAGTGTTATTGCAAAGTACGACGATCATTACAAAGCGCGACAGAACACCGCTTACTCGGTTTGAATGACCGTAGACCCCATTTAGATCGAAAAACTCGATTCGAAGGTTATGTTCGCACTATACAGAATAGCTCGTGCGCCGACACGATAGCTGAACGTATCGGATAGGCTTTCTGTTTACACATATGAACGGTGGTTTTTGTGCGATTCCTGAAACGGAGCGAAGCTAGGCCGCGCTGATCTTGAAAGTGGAAACGGTAGATTTCAGCCACTATTCTTCGCAGTGTGAAAAGATATTCGAACCCTAGCGGAAGTAAATTAGTAGGGGCAAACCCACTGAGACAAAAGTAAATGAAGTGAGGATTGGAATTTGGTACACCAAACCCTCTCGGCCAACCCTTCTAACCACTACGGTGTGGGTGTATGAACGACTCGTTTCCGTTTCCGCTTACTCCCAGATTAGAGTTTGAAATTTCCTGGATAATCGCTAAAGTTCGCCATTTCTTCTGTAGACTCGAATTTCTGACCATAAAATTTCAAGTATTTGGCGTTGTTTTAGCTATTTTGATGTTTACATGGAACGTTTCCCCTTAAACTCCGGTATGTCATTGTTATATTATAATGTGATTGGTGGGAAGTAAACTAATCAGGTGAAATGCTAAAATGCCAACAAAATCTTTTTCTTTTTTTGTGTGTCATCACAAAATCATGACGACTGGAGTCAACGAGTATTTTTTGCCCAATAACAAAACAGGCGTTAGAAAGAGAACAGCCATACTTTAAAGGAGAATAGTAATAATAAGACATAAATGGGCAGCGTGCAAAGAAAGTTGTGTCCGATAGCCTGGGGCTAGTGGATTTTGCAATCGGGCTAGTGAATTCTGTTCTTTTTTGGGAAATTCAGATTGCAGAAGAACTGTAATCAATGCTGCTTATGAAAAACGTTTTTGGGCTAGTACATACTAGCAGCAACTTGCCCAAATGGCAAGCCATAAAACTGTCTTTCTTTGCACCCTGATGGGGAGAGTCCGTTACACGAATCGCATCCACATGAAACAAAACAAAAATGAAAATCCGCATGCTGACATAGGCAGGCCGGAAAACGTTGCGCTAAAAAACGACCTGAATTTCTGTTTGATGAGCATTTGCAACAAAGCATGAATGATTTAATATTTTTTCTGCTTACTGAAACAGGCAAAAAGAAAGTGTGATATTGTTCAGCTGATTTTAACCACCTCAGAAGCCTTTTGAATTTGCTATGATTAGATTTTGTTTGAGAAAATGTGCAAGTCATCATTATTCTACATTACAGAACGAGGAAAAAG